GATGCTTCCATCGGTGTGTGAGTGAGTTAAAAACTGAGTAGCAGGTGGCACCTTGTATGGTAGTCTCGGCCACCAGTGTATGAATGTGTGTGTGAGTTTTATTCCCACTCCCTTTTGAACAAACCTTTTGTTGTCTTTTGTTGTTGCTTTCTTCTCTTTTTTTTAATGTAAAACCTTCAAATCAAAGTCATTGATTATAAAATGTATTTAGGTGAAACGTCTTCTAAGACAAAACTAAATCCAGTTGCGTTCGATTCAGTTGCCTTGAGATAACTATGACCTGGATAAATGAGAATATCCACAGGCACATGCATCATGCATTCTTGTTCAGGGTATGGCCATGGCCCTCGTGCCCTCTCAATTTGGCCTTGTACCCTTGAAAAAAATATCTGCCCAAAGGCTACAGTGGCCCTGATGCCCCGCCTGCACTGCCCCGGGTGATTTTGCCTTTTTTTTCTCTGCTTCTTTCCTGTCAACACTGCTTTGACACGTGTCTTTTGAGAGAAAAAAAAAGCGTCTTTTGATGACATTCTGGATTCTTATTGGGCAACATCAAATGAGACGATGCGTACATCACCAGTGGTGGGTTTGATTCGAGCCTGGCATGAACCGCTCGGACGGGCTATAACAACAGTTTGACTCCAATCTATCACCGCCCAATGCCTGGACAGGGATTGGTACCGAGACCCAGTATTAAACAACCCAAGGCAAATTTAATCAAGACCGTAATAATAGTAAGCTCTGCCATTATCAGCGTTACTTTTTCGTTTCATCATCATTCTGCAGCCTCTCTCCTGCTCTCTGCATGTCAGGGCTGACCTCCTCTTCACAGCGCAAGCGTGCACACACACACACACACACACACAACAGAGTGAAGTCAGACAACAGCAGAGAGGCCGCGGTGCAGATGAAGGGAATATAACTTCAACATTACTCTAGTTGACGACAACTATGCTTGTTACTGTAAGGAAGTGCAATAAAACCTCTGCCAGCCAAGCCAATACTTTATCAATACATGTGATCAGCATGTAGAAAGCAATATTTCAACCCGCTCTGTCGTTGAAATATGATTCTCTCATTCACTGCTATTATGATTTACGATCGCGGTCAACACAAGCACATTGTGCTTGCAAGGCTAACAGCAAAGTGTTAAAGACAAACTAAAATGAAAGCTGTCTGTATGTAGGCTAACACTTTATCTGAAGATGTACCTGAGACAGTCGACATGCAGACAGTGAGTGTCCGCAGTAGGGGAGGGACAGAGAGCAGGATGAATGACTGATAATGATGTTTGTTTTCATGCTGAGATAACATGACTTTCTTCATTCAGTATTGTGATGTCAGGAGGAATATTTATATTCCAGTGAGATATTATTGGGTTTTAAATAGTGACTTTGTTGTTGTAAACATTACTGTTGCTGCCAAGGACTGTATAAAACTATATCCTGTGTAACTGACCTATAAGGAAAACGTCAGGAGGTGAGGTGTGTGCATGTGTGTGTGTGTGTGTGGAGGAAGAGGGGAGAGGGAGATGCTGGTAGATAGTGTTTCTTATTAGATACTGTTAATGTCACTTATTATGCTTCTGTGGATTGATAGGTCTTTTTTAGTCTGTTTCTGCATTATGTTGACGAGGGCCATGCCTGTATATATAGATATATACTTTACATGTATGCAAAAATAAAGTGAATCGGTTGCTCAATGCTAAAAATGTGGCCCATCGACATTATCTGCTTTTGAAATGCGGCCCAGTTGAAATAGTAATTGTTGCAGTTTGCTGTAGTTTGTTTGTAAGCTATCTAACAACACATCAAAAACAATTGTTAGCCAGTCTTGTTCAGTGAATCAGTTCATCATGTACACTCAAAAAATATTTAGGTCTAATATTTAAGATTGTTTGCGTATAAATACATAAACCTGGTTGTTCTATATTTAAAACACATTGGGTTTATTAGTACTATTAAATAAATCACATTATTAGTTATTATACTCATTATTATTACTTGAGCTTGTTTTATTTATTCATTTCACAGATAGTTTTATTTTATGGCCTTGCTGCCCTGGCTTTTGGCCTTTGTGCCCTCAAAAAATGGACAACACGAAAGGCCAAGTGGCCTTGCCCCTAAAATGATGAAATTCCAGGCCTGCTTGTATTCCATGGGTGTTGCTGTTCTGTGACTTCTGTAATCTAGTAGTGATTCTGTCACTTCTCTGTCTCTCTCTCATTTTTTAAAAAACTCTGTATTTTCCAGTTTACTTACTGTCTGTCATCTTTCTCCCTCCCTCTGCTCTTGCTGTAGGTACGTACCAGGGTCAGTGGACTGGTGGGATGCGTCATGGATATGGCGTGCGTCAAAGTGTTCCATACGGTATGGCCTCTGTCATCCGCTCACCTCTACGAACTTCACTGTCTTCCCTCCGCAGTGAGCAGAGTAATGGTACAGTACTGCGTGACAGCCTATCTGACAGCCCTGCTGGTACACGAGGTGGCTTTGTACTCAACTTCCACTCAGACGGAGAAGGTTCAGAAAAAAAGAAGGGACTTTTTCGCCGTGGCTCCCTCTTTGGGAGCCTTCAGAGACTACGCAAATCAGACTCACGCTCATCGATTTCCAGTAAACGCAGCTCAGCACACAGTGACACCACCATGAGCCGCATCAGTTCAAGCGATGCCAACTCAACTATCAGCTATGGAGATGGAGACTTGGGTGATGACTACCTGCCTCTGGAGGACAATGTGGATGCCACCACCACTGAGTCTTATATGGGAGAGTGGAAAAATGACAAGCGCAGTGGCTTTGGTGTCTCTGAGCGCTCCAATGGCATGAAGTACGAAGGCGAGTGGTTGAACAATAAGCGCCATGGCTATGGCTGCACTGTCTTTCCTGATGGCACCAAGGAAGAAGGGAAGTACAAGAACAATGTGCTTGCCCGGGGCATCAGAAAGCAGCTGATCCCACTGAAGAACACCAAGACCAAACAGAAGGTGGATCGAGCTATGGAGGGAGCAGTGAGAGCAGCAGCTATTGCCAGAACTAAAGTAGAGATTGCCATCTCCAGGTAAAATTTTAGATGTTCAATCCTCTTAGACAGCAAAAAAATTTCACCCTCTTGGTTTTCTGCTTTCATATGAAAAAGGGTGCCGTAGAGAGCTGACAACTGTAATGGAGCATATAAAGGCCCTTGGCTTGACTTGTACTGTAGATGCTGCATTTACATGGTTAGGCATCTTAAACCCTCACACCATGAGGATACCTCTTGCTCTTGACATTATTGAAAAGAGCAGTCAGATGATCAGACAGGTTGAAAATAAGCCTCTACATTAGTCAGTCCTATTTGGAAGAGAAAACAAAGATGTTTTATTCATCCAACCTAGTTAGACAGTGGATCTTTTTTTTTTTACTTTGAGCTGTACTTTCTATAGTTATGTGTACAACACAGTAATCAGTCTTTACGGTGTTCATTCACTGCATTTTGAACAGTTGTCAGTTTAGTCCAACATCTTAGAGCTCAAATGAGTAATAAAGGATACAATCTGATACACTGCTATATAATCAGCATAGTAAATGAATGAATGAATGAATGAATTAATAAATGAATAAATAAATAAATAAATTAATTCTTATTATTGTGTCATGCAAGCAGTCATGCTTAGCCCTCATGGGCCTACAAAACACCATAACATCAGAGCAAGCTACAACCAGAGTCCAGCAAACATAACTTCAGACAGCATTAAAAGGATAGTATCATATATAATCAGAACTGAAAATTTAAAAAAAAAAAGTACTAATTAAACAAACATTATTGCCCTCTCTTCCAAGCTTGAACAACATTGGCAATCTTAAATTCAAAATTAAACAACCATTCTACCTTTTCGTCATCCCAGCATCAAAAGACGTCAGGATTGAGACAAGCCATTTCATGGAACATTAACTCTCTTAAGTCATCATAGTTTGTACAATATAAAAGAGAATGGAACTCATATTTTAAGTTTTCCTCCAGAAAATTGTTGATGATGGAACAGCCATCAAGAGAAATTTGCGGTACAGTATCTTGCTCAAGGATACTTCGACATGTTGATTGGAGGAGCCGGGGATCAAACTGCTGATCTTCTGATTAGTGGATGACTCACTGTGCCTCCTGAGCCACAGCTGCCCTCCTAAGCCACAGCTGCCCAGATATCAAAATGTTCAACTCCTTAAGGACGTGTGCTATCTTTTCTCATTCTAACACTTTTCACTGATGACACCACCCACCATGACCATCACTCGCTTTAGACCCTCCTGCCTTTCTGCTCTTACAAAAAATTCTGACTTAAACGCCTGTAGCAGCCACAATTTCCACTCTTCGTACACAATTTATACAACAAAACTTTTTTGTCCTTTTTCAGATGTTGTGCCCATTTTATCAATAGGACTTACATATTTTGAACTGCGTGCCCCAGTGCAACAAGTAATCCCCTTTCTGTTCCTTTGCTGGTAATATTAAGTTCTAAGCAAAAACCCCAACTTAGAGACTTAGAAAGATTTCTCAGTCATTTTTATTTTATTCACTCAAATGACATGTCAACATCTTGAGCAGTCTTGGGATGCACAAAGTGAATACATTTCAGCAATACAGTGTGCAATTTTTGAATTTGGATGTCTTTTTCAAGTAGTACTTCTCTGGGTCTTATCAGCAGTTCTACTGAACAATGACTCAGCATTTTCATGCCCCAGATAATGGTCCACATTCTGATTGGCTTCTGGCTGGTGTGTCTCATTCTTTCTCTTGTCCTATCTATCTGTCTGTCTTTCTCTCTATCTGCCTGTCTTTCTCTCAATTCATTTTTTATGCCTCCGCACCAGCCATAGCTGTGGTCAGAGCCATTATGTTTTGGGGTTTTCCATCCATCTTACCTTACCACAGTCTGTCTGTACATATATACAGACGTCCATCTGTTTCATTCTCATTAACGCGTTATCTCAAGAATGCCATGAGGGAATTTCTTCAAATTTGGCACAAATGTCACTTGGCCTTAAGGATGGACTAAGTAGAATTTGGTGGTCAAAGGTCACTGTGACCTTGTGTCTGTCTCATTTCATGAACGTGATACCTCATGAAGACCTCTCCTTAAATTTGACACAAACATACTAGGACTCTGGAATTAACTAATTAGAATTTGAAACTGTGCTGATTGTGTAGATCTTCTGTGCTGTGGGGGGAAGGTGTTTGTGAAGCATCCATGTTTTCACATACATAAATAAATGCGTGTGTGTGTGTGTGTGTGTGTGTGTGTGTGTGTGTGTGTGTGTGTGTCATGGTCATTCACTGTCCCTCAGGTTATGGCATGCTGATACATATTGGGTAGCAAGATACGTTCTTCTACAAGGAGTATTTTTAATTTTGAGAGGTCATTAAGCTCTTTGAAATCTGAAATTAGTTTGAGTTGAATAGAGTTGTTAACTTGTTAAAATGAGTACTTATTTTATTGAATTTCTTACATGGTAGGAGGAAGAACATCTCTGTCTCAGCCTCACCTGTCAAACAATGGCCACATATTCTGTTTTTTATGCCTGCACACCAGCGATAGCCATAGCCAGAGGCATGTTGTTTTCGAGTTGTCTGTCCGTACGTACATACTTTGTCCATGCATCCAAAAAAAATATGTTTTTGGCCAAAACTCAAAAATTCTCAAAACCAATAGAATATCATGATTGGTCAGCTTATTGTGACACTACAATAGTCTGCATAAAACATTTTTCTGACCATTACTGAGTGTCACATTTCTGGAACAGAAGGGGAGATATTTGGTCTGATACTGAATTGGTAACACTGTTTTTCGGTGTCCACAGATTATTTACTGATAATCAATATGAATTTATATCAAACAGATCAACATCACTGACATTTATAGAATCAATTGAATAAATTTCAAACTCTAAAGGTCACAAAAAAATAGAGTTGGGTTATTTATTGATTTTCAAAAAAACTTTTTGATACATACTTTGATGATATGGGGTTAAAACATATTTAAGTAAAAGGCAACAATTGGGAAGTGGGGAGAGTTTCATAATGATACTATATTATATTGATTCTTTGGACAACAATACAATATTTGCTGATATTATAATGTCTGCCACAATATTCAATCAATCAATCAATCAATCAATCAATCAATTTTATTTATAAAGCCCAATATCACAAATCACAATTTGCCTCACAGGGCTTTACAGCATACGACATCCCTCTGTCCTTTGGACCCTCACAGCGGATAAGGATAAACTCCCCAACGGTGGGATCCCTCTTCCAAGAAGGACAGACGTGCAATAGATGTTGTACAGAAAAGATCAGCATAATAAATTAACAGTAATCCGTATGACACAATGAGAGAGAGAGAGAGAGAGAGAGAGAAGGAGAGAAGGTTCCCGGTGTATTATAGGGGGGTCCTCCGGCAGACTAGGCCTAAGTCAGCCTAACTAGGGGCTGGTACAGGGCAAGCCTGAGCCAGCCCTAACTATAAACTTTATCAAAGAGGTAAGTCTTAAGTCTAGTCTTAAATGTGGAGACGGTGTCTGCCTCCCGGACTGTAACAGGAAGATGATTCCACAGGAGAGGAGCCTGATAGCTAAAGGCTCTGGCTCCCAATCTACTTTTGGAGACTTTAGGGACCACGAGTAACCCTGCGTTCTCAGAGCGCAGTGTTCTGGTGGGATAATATGGCACTATGAGCTCTCTAAGATATGACGGAGCTTGACCATTTAAAGCTTTATAAGTTAACAGTAGGATTTTAAATTCAATTCTGGATTTTACAGGGAGCCAGTGCAGAGAAACTAAAACAGGAGAAATATGATCTCGTTTCTTAGTTCCTGTTAGTACACGTGCTGCTGCATTCTGAATTAGCTGGAGAGTTTTTAAGGACTTACTAGAGCTAACTGATAATAGAGAGTTACAGTAATCCAGCCTTGAGGTAACAAAAGCGTGGACCAATTTTTCTGCATCTTTTCGGGTCAGGATAGGCCTAATTTTCGCAATATTACGCAGATGAAAAAATGCAGTCAGTGAGGTTTGTTTTAAATGAGAATTAAAAGACAAATCTTGATCAAATGTTACTCCGAGGTTTCTTACGGTAGTGGTAGAGGCCAGAGCAATGCCATCTAGAGAAACTATGTCATCAGATAAAGACTCTCTGGGTTGTTTGGGACCAAGAACAATAAATTCAGTTTTGTCTGAATTTAACATCAGGAAATTGGTGCTCATCCAGGTTTTTATGTCTTTAAGGCAGTTATGGAGTCTAGTTAATTGATCTGTTTCTTCTGTATGATTGATTTCATTGTGATGTGATTAAGGGGCCTGTAATCGATATGAGGCGATATCATCTGCCTATTTAATACAACCAGCCATAAAAGATAAGAACAACACAATTAATAAGTGCAGTAAAGTTTACTTTACACTGACTAGACTTACACACATAAAACAGCACATGGGATGAGTTAAGCGGCGCTGGCCTGTGATTGCATTACCTTTCTTCTTCAGCAGCTCTTTCCACCAGGGAAAGGCTACCCCGATGTTGACCCTTGTTTTTTAAATTTGCCGGTCACATTGCCTTTTTGATTCCCTTTTGCGCTTTCTTGGCAATGAGGATTCCGTCTCCCGTGATGCTGCATAAGCATGATCCTGCATTATGCTCATAGAGTGGGACTTTTTTATGCTGCAGTAGTGCTGGGGTAGTAGCGAAGTGCCTCTTGCTCCTCTCCTTTGGCTTCTCAGTCACGCACCACTGGCCTGGCTCTCAATGAAAACGCCAAAGGCGGGGCTATTCCCTAGTAGTGCTATATGTCCCTTTATTTTCAAGATGGCGAAACGTTATAGAACCCCCCAAACGACTTACCTGCCCAATGTACAAACAAATCTGAAATTCTCCTTTTACGAGAATAAGTCAGATTGTTGGTGGATGTAATAATACACCAATGATGACATTCATGAATGCAGATCGGTTTTTGCCAATAAAAAACTGAAATTGCTACATAATGTCCCTTTAAGCATGTTTACACTGCATAAGGTAGCCTAGCAGCTAGCAG